ACAATCTATTGCAAAATAAACGGAACACCTTTCCCCATTTCCCCACTCCAATGTTGAATACACGTTAACCGTATTTCCAGGACGATTTTCAACCGATTCAATCTTCAAATAAGCGCAAAACAACATTGGAAAGAGGGAGGGGAGGTCGTAGTAACACACTCGTGGGGGTGTTTCACGTTATTTTGCAATAGATTGTCTATAAGGGATTATAAAGTGATAAGAGTGTGTGACGTGCGGTTAGCGACACGTAGGTATAGGTTCAAATGACGTGCATTGTTAAACTAGAAATCACGAGAGGTGTGTAATGGAAAGAAACGTTTGTTTCCAGTAAAATCGAAACAGCGAGAGAGAACATAAATATAGAAATGTGCTTGTAGTAGAATAAAACTTAATTTACAACGCTGTAGATATACAACTGTCTTATAAAATAGAACCACTTATAATGGGTATTGACCCAGAAACTCGAGCAATGATTTATCATTTATCGAAAATACAAGGACTATCCGTACGCCAAGTCGCAAGGGAATGTAATGTTTCAATATCGACGGTTTCGAGGATAAAGAACGCAAAGTTTCAAAGCAAGCGACGTGACGATACGAGGAATAAAGAAACCAGAGGGCGCCCTAAGAAATTAACGCCTCGCGAGCAAAGAAATATCAAACGGGGAATACACATTCTATGAGAACAAGAAGGCGGATTTACTATAAAAAGACTAATGAATCAAGCAAACATCGACCAGAGAAAGATCTCCGTGAGTACAGTCTCACAATATCTCAACAAAGAAGGGTATTACTGCCTTCAAGCCAGAAAGAAAGGACTTCTGACAAGAAAAGACATGAAAAAAAGAAGAATATTCGTCCGAAAAATGCGGAGAGATTTTGCAGAGGATGTGTGGACAAAAGAGATTGCCTTCTACCTAGATGGCACAGGCTTTGCCTATAAAAGGAATCCTTTGGACCAAGCGTTAGCACCCCGCGCACGAATTTGGCGCAAAAGAAGTGAAGGACTTGACTTCAGCTGTACCGCTAAAGGGRGAAAAACAGGGAGTGGCGGCAAAGTACTGAAACTAATGGTGGCTATAWCGTACGACAAGGGAGTCATACTCTGCAAACCATACCAAAAGCTAAATGGAGGGTATTTTGCACAGTTTATTGATGACAATTTTGAAGAAATGTTTGTAGAGGCTGATAAAGGATCAAAACGAATGTGGATTCAGGATGGGGATCCAAGTCAAAACTCTGCAGCAGCAAATGCCGCAATGAACCGCGTCAACAGCGTACTTATCAAGATACCTCCAAGAAGTCCCGACTTAAATCCAATAGAGAACATATTTAAGCTGGTATCTGATAAGCTACGAAAACAAGCAATAGAGTTTCAAATTCAGAGAGAAACATATGATCAGTTTGAAGATCGTGTCATCACAGCTTTAATGTCTTTGCCGATTATAACGATAAATAATATTATAGCGTCTATGTCTAAGCGGATCAAAGAAATAATCGCTAGAAAGGGACAACGTTTACGCTACTGATAATGTTTATTTTCTTGAATTGGTTAATCAACAAAAGTACCTATCACAATTATTAAGCTCATAACAATAAAGTCCATAATTGAAATATCTGATTTTATTACTTGTCGTGTATAGTTTAAAAAACAATATTTGTAATATGTCTGCTCTAAAACAACAACAGTGTTCATTCTTTGACATACACGTTTATCTTCAGCTTTAGAAAATGTGCTGTTTACTTTTGAAGTCGTTCGCTACAGAAATGAAACTCAACAACGCCACATGGGATCCCTTTGCTAAATATTGATTGTGTGTAATCACATGTCACCGGCATGGATCACCGTCATTTTATTTCAAATGTAGTGTTCGATTACCGATTTTTTGTCTTCAAAAACCATGAAAATAGTTGTATTTTATTATTTCCCGCAAACACATGTCATTAGTATATCGCGCTTTGCTAAATGCGAATGTTTATTTGAGAGTGTACAGGGGTGATCCGTTGTAGAGAAAGAAGATCATGGCTGTGGTTTGTATAGTGTCGTGTTCACCAGCGGTGACCCGTTGTATAATTAAGGAAATAAAGACGTTTTTACAGAGAAATGCCTTTCTTGGGGTAGGAGACATGTTTTTAAGAGTGTAAAAAACGTCCCTTTCATAATTCGGTGGATAGTTATCGACGCATTTACGATATTATTTGTGGTGACCCGTTGTAGACACAAACACGTGTACATGTACATCTGACATATTTGTTGATACCGCAACGGATTTCCTATTTTTATGCGTTTCTGGAGTTGCTTTTTTTGATGTATTTTCTCAATGCAAAATGAACTCTGCAAAACAGCGTGGACATGGGGTTGTAGTGACTTGCTCCTCCTCGGGTATCTGATAGAAGAACTTGAAAGATCTCCACCTCACTGTCATCATGTCGGTTTCCACACGATCAAGCACTCCACCTCGGACATAGGACAACTCTTCATTGGCTGTACAAAAGATTGGGGCATCAGAATCAAAGACGATGTCTTTTGCATAGTGTGTTTTCGGTGCAGGAAAACGCACTAGCTGTCCTTCTAATAATAACAGTAGGTTATGCCACGGTATTATCTGTGGCGACCAGCGAAAGTCATTGAGGAATATTACTTCGCTGTTCTCCACTCCTACCCATGCAAAGGTGGCTGTTGCGGGGTTATTAAAGGTGTCGTATATAAGAGTAAGAGGACTTAATATGAATGTCTTCCCACAATTGCAAGGGCCAGTTATGATGATATTTCTGTATTTGCCACGCCCTTTCTCTAGTGACAAACGAACAGCTGCTACAAACTCTGACTTTAATATATTATTATGGCTCAGAATACTAGTTGCTAATTCCAGCCATAATTTGTTACAATTTGGAGCACATTCACCTTTATAAACAGCTTCAAGGCGCTCCAATCGGGTTTGCTTGGATCTCAAGAGTGTATTAGGCGCTTGCTCTAATTCCCAGCCTACTTTTATAGCCTCATCTACAACTCTCGACCCACGATTTGCAATGAATTGTGCTAGGTCAATTTTACCGAGACTTTTTTGCTCTTGAGCATAGGCTAAAAGACCCAGTCTGGTCGTTATGTTTTTCGCAACCGCTATCTGGGACACTTCGTAGACACTTAGCAGACGTTTTCTCTTGTTTTTGGATGCATTACGCCCTGATGAACGATCTCTTGCTCCTCTACGCCAAGACGTCGTTGCTTGTGCAGTTTGCGGAGGGCCTGTATGAGTCAAATCTGGGTGGTTCTGTGACTGGATGTAGCTTCTATCTTCCTTTGTGGTATAAC